TGCTCCTTTTTTGACTTACACAGTAGTTGCTCAAGGAAGTCTGTGAGCAGTTCAGAACCTGATTCTGTACATATTGTGCATTCAAGGAGCTCTCCTCAGATGGAGGACCTTCATACTTCTCCTGTGAGTACATCTCATTCTTAGCAGATTGGGGCATAAGAAAACAGACTTCCTTAATGTACTACCTCCAGAGCAATGGGCATGCAGAACTTACAGTCAAGGCAATTAAATAAATACTTGCAGAGATACAGATGGCAGTGGCTGTCCCAACCAGGAACATGTTGCCCATGCCCTGCTAACCCACCAGAAAACCCATGTATACAAACTGGAAATGTCCCCAGGAACAATGCTTTTTCAGTTAACCTATAAAAGACCACCTGCAAAACCAGGATGGTCCCTACCCACACTGTTGGTGCAAAACTGGAAGGATTGTTGAGTCCCTTGGGGACAGATAATAGCATGTGCAGATAGATGGTAATGCAATTGCCAATTCCTCCGAAGTATATTGACACCCCATACTACCCTACACTGGAGGCAGACCCACCAAATGACAGCTCCTGTCCTTCACAGCTGGGCCAGCACAGCCACTTGGAAAATGAACCTGACACATCAGATGCACTGGCAGATCACATCCAACTCTACCTCAATGCTGGTTGGTACTCCATCACCGGCCAGATTGCAAGTCAAGTAACATACACCTGACATTACAGTGACCACGCTTTAAGCATCAACACATTCCCCTACAAAAGGGCCCAGTGAATGCAAACTGTCCCCCACTACACCCAGTGTGTGGCAGGCACAACACATTGGGGAACCCTGCCATAACACATAGATTGTTCAACTACCCCAAAGTTGATCCCCCTCAGATGCAAGGATCCACACATGAATATTCATATACCATCTCATCCCTGATCACACTCATCTGACCAGTGGTCACAAGAGGGAGGAGGCATGTAGAACAAGAGGAGTAGTTTCCCTTGCTTGTCAAGAGGACTCAGATAAATAGGGTAAAAATTCTCAAAATTCTTCCTATAATGTGAACCTCAGTATCCCTTTCAGCTACAATCTCAAACAAAAGGATTCAATTTTCAAAACAGATTCGTAGTCAGGACATGTTCCTTCCATTTTCAAAGGACAGTTCTAAGCATACTGGTGGGGATCTTGAGCTTGCTGGAGGCTTTTCAATATCTCAGTCCATGATTATGATGGTCAATTACATTTTTGAGAGCACCTTTATCTTTGCCATTTTGAAAATCTTTACACATGGAATTTTACTTTCTGTTATATTTAAGTAAACATTTTATTATTTCCACTTATACATAGCCTATCCTAAGTATTTATTATTTTCAGCTAAAGTTTTAGGTTAGTAACAACAAAAAAAATTATTTTCTTAAATCTTAAGTTTTCAGTACTTTTGCATGCTGCTAACATTGAGAGAGTAAAAGGAGTTTAGCCATGATGGCAGAAGTTCTTGCCATTATTAGATTTTCACATATGAGTCTAAATATGTTTCTAATGATTATTGTTGTACTCTGCTCTTTTACAAAGTTTGTCTTTATGAACTCCTGGCTTTGTAAGCATCTTGAAATAGTTTACCACTGTCATATGGAAATTTGTTTATTAAAATATTATCATGTTGATTTATGGGCATTGAGTAATCGCTAAAATTGCATTGCTAAAACAGTAAACTCTCACACTCAAATAGGGACAACAAAGAGAGCATTCCAAAAGCTAAGTAAAGTGCTTTGAAACAGTTGCTTTATGTCTAGTTCTTGATGATATTTTGGTTTTTCTTGTATATGGTTGGATTTATTTATGCTTTGTCTCTGTAATGAAAACTGGAAATCTCCAAGGGAAATGTTCAATTGTCTCCCATTGGGGTGTGGATGCACAAATAGAGTGGGTTTGCCTCAAGCAGTTCCACTTTACTCACATCCTTGCTTTGTCAAACATGGTAAAACAGGGAAGGAGATCCTGGCTGAACTTCAACTTGGAAATTTGAAAAACCTTTTGTGAGGTGTTGCATTAGTTCTAGTGCACAGTAGTGTTCTTATAGCATACAGAGCCTCAGTTATCATGTCTTCCCAATATTTAATTGAAAGGTTTTGATTTTCAAGTGCTAACTATATGGTCTTCCATATTATGCTATTGTATCTCTTGCACTGTCCATTTCCTTGAGGATTGTATGGGGTAATCCGGCTTATGGCTACTCAGTAGGAATCTTCTTAGTTGGTCGGACATAAAAGAGGTCCCGCGATCTGTATGAATATAAACTGGCACCCCAAATATTGAAAACAGTGTGCAAAGACAGCATATGACCACTCTTGCATTTACATCTGGACAGGGAAAGGCAAAAAGGAATCGCGAATACTCATCAATGACAGTGGATATTTGTTTCCGGATTTAGATGGCAGAGGGCTCTTAAAGTCCATGCTCAGCCTCTCAGCTGTGTAGCTTTTACTAGGGTTCCTAGTTCAGGTTTGTAGAATTTTGGTTTTGTTCAAGCACAAATCTGACAATCATGTGTTGTTTGTTTCATGTCCTCAACTGAAAAAGGCAAATTCCGGCTTTGAACTACATGCATCATCCGTGTGATACCTGGATAACAGAGCTCATTATGAACTTTTTGTAGATCTTTGGTGCTGTTTACTGATTCACATACTCTTGACAGCGTGTCAGCCATTGCATTTTCTTTTCCTGACCGATAGAAAATGTCAAACGAAAAACGGGAAAGTTCTACCCTCCATCTCACTATCTTTTCATTTTTTATTATGCTTGTCATTTTGGAATTAAACAAAAAAGAGACTGACATTTGATCAGAGATTAATTTAAAGCAGTGACCAATTAAGAAATGTCACCTCCTTTTCGACAGCTGAATGTCTTGCTCAGATTTTGACAATGTTCTGGAGAAGAACACTACAGGACACCTGGATTGCCTTAACACAGCAGCTATGGCATGGTCAGAAGCATCAGGGAATGTCGAGATTCATTGAAGTGATGACTAAGTTGGCAATATCTCTTTTTAACCTCTCAAAGGCTTTAACAGCAGAAGCAGGTAAAGAAAATTTGGTAATTTTCATGTGGGTGTATTTTTTCAGAAAAGGAGGGTATCCATTGAGAATAATGAGTGAACATACCTATATTCATTGCAAGCTGACTATGGTGTTGGGAATAGGTAGTTATAGCAGTAGTTTTAGCTATTCAGAGTTTGGCTTCATGATTCCCTTACCCACAATATATCCAAGTAGTCTAGTGGTTGTTGACCCATAAGAAGTTTTGTCATGGTTGAGTCTAAGATTATATTTCTTGACAGCTGCCAAAAACCATTTTAGGTTGCGATTGTGGTAAGCCCCGTCATGGCTGCACACTGTCACATTATCTATGTAGGCAAAGGTGCCTTGTAGTTTTTCTTCCAGAATTATTTTATCAAGGATCCTCTGAAAACTGGAAACTCCATTAGTGACTCCAAATAGAATCCATTGGAACTGATAAAGTCACCCACAATCTTCAAAAGCCATATGACTTATCTTTAGGGTCTATAGCTACTTCGTGGTAAGCACTCCTTAGGTCTAATGCGCTAAATATTCTGTATTTGGCAATCTCGTTTATCATCTCATCAATACAGGGGATGCATTCAGGTGTGTGTTTGGGAGTAGTCTATGACCGTCCTTTTTTTATTATCAGAGAACGTTATTACTACTTGTCCTCTCCATGGTGATCTGCTTTCTTTGATTATTTCTTCCTTGGTTTATATTTTTTGGTAAAGTTTTCAAAAAGATTTATAGCAGCCAAGCCATAGGTGTTCAACACCAGTTTACAGCCCCCTAAAGGGAGATTAATATGAGAATGCTGTTTGAGGAAATCATGTGCAGTATCTAAATTTAGTTGTTTATTTTCCAGATCTTTGACAGATATAGTTTGATTCTAATCCATTTATAAAGGATTCTCTGAAAAATTCATCCTTTGCCTGTCATCACTTGAAAGTTGCAGTCTTGACTTTTAAGTTCTGAAGATACTGTTTTAACGCCTCTTCAGGGGATAGGTAGCTAGTTGCTAATACATGCTGGACAAAGATAATGTTTTATCTCTTTACAAAAATTCCATCCAAAACGTCCATGGCACTTTGGTAAGTTTTGCAGGGAGACATATTGGTATATGCATATATGGAAATGTGCTGCATTAGCAGGTTAAGTCTGTCCATATCATTAATAGGAGTTGATGAACTGTTTTCCAGTGCAAGCCCAATATTGTCAGGCATCAGTAGAAGGCGGGTCTGCAGAGTCCAAGTTGAGAACTTCTGGTTTAAAGTATTTGTACATAATTACATTCAATAAATTGTAATGAAAAATCGAAGTCTAGTTTGGCTTAATGTGCCTTTATTGAATGCAACTGAAGAGTCTTTCTATTTTGGCTAAGACTGCATGACTTATACAAATCATAAGACAGAGGAGGTAATTGGGTTGTCTTACCACAGTCCCTAATGTCATATGCTGTTATATATTTAATTCTTCAATAGCTGTTGCTTATTCCACACCAAACTTTTTTCAGTTCTTGTACTTGCATATCAATACTTTTGTGCATATGATTTTGATTTATTGATTGGATTTATAAAATTTGTTAATGTAATTTGTGATTATTTTGTTTCCATTTATATTTTTGAATGTGCAATTTTATGCTAGTTTTTTTACCTGTAGGTTATTTTGTTTTCCTTTCATCTTAGACAATGTTTTCTGTGTATTCTGTTGAAAATTGTTGTTTGTTACTTTTTGAAAATGTGCCAACCATTTTTTTCTTACTTATTACTTTTACAGAATTCTTAAATGTTCAATCACACAGAGAAAATTAAGTTTAGAGAATTTTCAAAGATTTTATTAAAAGTTAATTATATATTTTTTTCCAATTTAACATCTTTATGAAAATAACTATGATCAATGAAGTGCACAAGTACTTTTTTAAAGTAGAAAACAAAACAAAGGACAAGTGTCTAAACTGACTTTAAAATGATTCACTTTTCTTTTTTTTTTCTTATTTTCTCAGATTTAGATATGGGTGACTCAGCCCCAAGTATCGGTGGAAATACATGTGGTCCAGCAGATTATGACTATCTCATTAAATTCTTAGCACTAGGTAAGTAATTTTTTGTTGCAAACTTGAAAAATTTATATATATTTTTATTCTATCATTTCATAAATTCTCAAAGTATTTTATTTTAATTTGAACAAAAAGTTCAGAATTTATTATCAGCTTTTTTATTTAGCTATAAAGTTCAAATGTTTAGCAATAATACTTGTCTAAGTATAAAATATAAGTATAAAACATTGCTCATTGTGTTAGAATATACATAATGGCTTTAGTTAAGAATTCAAATAATATTTGATCTCCACTTATGAGTACAATATAAATACACTTTTTAGAGTTAAAATATATCAAAGTTAAACAATCTGTTTTTGGAATATTTCAACAGTTGGGTGTGTCTAGAAATAAATGTAAAAAGGAAAAAAGCTTTGATTTACAAACTATGGTGAGTTCCTTTTTTATACATTTCCAAGTTCGATTTTTCAACCTTGTTGATGTTTTCTGGTCTTCTTGGAAACAATCAGCAATCATTGAAAAATACTTCTTTTTTTCTTTATTAGAATCATAACTTTGGGATCTATGGCAATATAAATTTCATTGACTTTTCTATTTCACAAAAATGAATGATAGTACATAAGTGTAATACAGCATGAAATTATTTAATATGGCAATACATATGACAGCAATCTATGTAGATTTTCAATAAAAAACAAAGCCACTGACCTTTCACAAAAAAGCAGCAGTTATGTTAGCCATGATGCAGTTATATTAAGAGTTTGGTAGCAAGAGAAAGGAATAACAAGGATTAGAATAAAACAATATTTATTGTTGGTAGAGAATACGGGAATAGTGATCTGGTGTAAGCATAGTGTTGGGAGTTGACCTATTTCTTGTGCTGGTCTGGCCGAGGTCACAGGAGACAATCAGTGCATGTTTGGTTGATTGAGGTTACAGTGGTAGGTCATTTCGTTGGTTGGTAGAACTGTTGTGTTGAACCAGGATGACGTTGGATTGGTGTGGTTTTGGTAGGCATGTTCCATGTCAACTGTGAAGGGAATACCTTGTAAACAAGTCAAGTTAAGCCAAGGTGACTGTGGGCCATAGCTGTTCTGGTCATTCTCAGAGACCTTCTTTTAAACAGGTCTGGTACTCCCCAGGGGCATCTCTCACTCTCCAGTGGGAACAATCCTGATTAGCCACTGCCAGAGCTCACTTCGTAGACCAGATGTGATGCATAGAGCTTAATGCACAGAAAACAACTTCTGTTATCTTGTTTTCTGCTTTCATGGCATTCACATTCAACCAGCATGCAGAATGAATCAGATATCAAATTTCAATGGAGTATTCATAGTGGACATGAAAAACTGTTGAATGCCAATTATGTCCGTAAGCTGCTCTACATTGCTTATAATGTTGCATTTTATAACTGGAAGTGTCATGACAGATAATAATAAGCAAACCTGCCATACACTCTGCTAAATGAAATTAAAAATGCAGAACTTTTTAATATCTGTAAAGAATAAGCCAAGTACAGCAATATATCACTAAAATCACACTGGTGGCTTGTATACATGTTGAGATTAGTATAATTGTTAACTGATTGTTAGGGTAATGTATGTAACCTGTATGAAAAAGCATTCACTTATTCATAGGAGCAATATATTCAGCTGTTTTCTACACAATGCTTTGATCAAAATCCTCACTATGACTGATATTGTTATCTGATACTATAAAAATTTATATTCTAAAAATAAATGTAAAATTATATAAAATAATTAACTAGTAAATAAAAAAAATAATATAATAAACTAAGTTTGTTTATTGCAATTTCTTTTGAGAGGAGTGTTTCATAAAAATATTTATAAATTAAAGAAAGTTACTAACATATATTGTTTAAATAAAAATAATTGCTATAATGAAGCCAGATGGCTAGTAAAAAATGGCTTGAATAGAATTTAATGTGTAAAACTTATACATGGTTTAAAGTGATACATGTAATAATAAGTAGAAGTGAAAAACATAGACTTCACTTTATTTGTGGATAAGTTTCTAATTTGTTATATCAGGTCATCCCATAAGTTCTGTCCCAAATTTTGAATAAAGAAAACAAGTGACCAAATGTTACATTTAATTACAGATTCAATCAACAATGTATTTTCCTGATTATCTATGACTTCCTTCCATCTATTAACAAGTTTACTAATTCCATTACTGTAAAATTCTTTTGGCTTTGATTCGAAGAACTCACAAATGTCAGTTTTAACCTCTTCCTGTGTTACAAAAGCTGTTTCTTCCAAATGATTCTGTAAGCTACGAAACAAATGGTAGTCTGAAGGAGCAAGATCGGGAGAATAAGGTGGATGAGGAATTTTCTCCCAACCAAGTTCTTTGATCTTTTGTGACGTGATTCTTCTTGTGTGGGGTCGCGCATTGTCCTGATGAAACATCACCCATTTTCGATTCACTAGAGCAGCAGGTTTTTTTTCCTCAAAGCTTGGTTCAAATGCTCTAATTGCTGACAGTATATTTGAGCATTAATTGTTGCATTAGATGGTAAGAATTCAAAGTGGATTATTTCTTGGCGATCCCACCAGATTGAAAGAAGAACCTTTTGCCCATAAAGTTCCCTTCTCGGCTGTGGCTGGGGTCCTTCCCTTTATCAAGCCACTGTCTATGACGCTTAACATTTCGATAAAAGATCCATTTTTCGTCGCCAGTCACAAGTCTATCCAAAAAGGTGAAACAAGTTGGCTAGAATGGAGAGAAGAGCAGATGTCAACTCAGGATTTGAGGTTGTTTTAAGACAATTCATGAGGCACCCATTTTCCAAGTTTAGGAACTTTTCCAAGTTGTTGAAGATGACGATGAACAGTTGCATGGTTTGGTTTGAACTGAGAACCACTGCCAATTCCTCAACTGATAAAGTAGGATTTTCTTTAAGGGCTGCTTCAAGAAGCTTTTCATCAAACTCAACTGGATGTCTGGTTCAATCTTCATTTTCAATGGTGAAATCTCCACCTCTGAATTTTGCAAATCATCTTCTGCAAATTCTTTCATTCACACATTCCTCTCCATAAACTGAGTGAATGTTTCTAGCTGCTTCGGCTGCTGAGTTTCCTTTCTTGAACTCAAAGCATTATGTGTCTCAAATGATTCTTGGGTACTTCCATGTTAGCAGGGTTTTAATCAAACAAAATTTAATTTTATTGTTCTCTGAAATAAAATTTGATCAGTTTAAATGCATCTAAACATCAAAATAATGTTCAGCTCCATTAGACATTATAAAATACTCTTTAAATTTTGTTCATTTTAACAAAAAGTTAAAATTTGGACAGAACTTATAGGATGACCTGATAGTTAAATATATATATATACAATATATATATATATGCAATATATATATATATATAAAATATATATATTATATATATAATGGTTTATGTTCTCAAAAAGACAAAATAAAATATATTTATTCTGTTATATTAATTAGAATAATGAATATTCTGATAATTAAGGTCCAATAACTAGGAATTGAGACGAATTATTTTTATGAAAAATGAACATTTGAACCTATATGGAAGAGAATCACATGAATTTCACTAAAAAGTTTATAAATGAATTTTTGGTATTACATTTTCTGATTGAAATGCTCATGCCCAACAAGCGTAGGAAGATATTACAAATGTCTTTTTATCAAAAATAGATCTTTTTCACAAAAAAGACCATCAAAATATTTTACAAGAAAAGACAATGAAGACATATTTGATGATTTTCGCACAAGTCCATGAGTTCATCAAATCTAAATACCCACCCAAGACAATCAAACAACTAAACATATTTCCTGAAATATCCAAAAACATAAGCCAAACCTACTAGGACGCCTGAAACAAGCTATTTTTTTCTCTTGCGTCTTGTCATACGGGGTATTTTTTTACCCGAAAGGATCAAAGAATTTAAACAAAATAGGATGTGTAAGCCATCCACAGCTTTTTAAAATTAATCAAAAAATTGAATGTTTGATTCCATTAATTCGTAGTGTTTATATCCTTTTGATTTAAGATGCAACAAAATAATTAAAGTAACCACAAAAATCTTTAAAAGCACTTTAATCTTTTTCTAGAAAAAAAATACTGAATGGAATTGAAAAAAATGTCAAATTAAAGACCAATGTTTTCTATGGATACCAAAGACATATTGGCATCAATGTCAATGATTCAGTTTGATAAAAAAAAGAAATCATTAAATCTATAAACCCATCAAGTTAATTTACACAGACTTAAATTATACATAAATAATTTAGTAGTTAGGATGTCATGAATTTTGAGATGTTCCAAATAATAAATTATACCAAATAAACAAATATATATATATATAAATATATATATCAATTGACAATAAATATATATATATTTGAATGGGATATATATATATATAATTATACATGAAAATCATATCATATATTTATGAATAAATTTATTTATATAAAAAAAAAAAAAAATGAAAAGAACCAGAAGATTTATAATCCAATGTTCTCATAGATATTTTTATTTTACAAAATTGATGGTTATGTTTTTTTTCTTGCATTAATTTTACAACCTTGTTTAAAATTTGTTTTTTCTGTGTCTGTCATCGGACACCCAGTGTCATCTGCATATTTTATGTTGAGATTGTGTTCATCAATAATAAATCCTAGTGGGACTTCTAGTTCTCTTAAGATTGCCTCACGTTTGAATAAATCCATTAAAATTACATTCTTAATATATATTTTTGAAACATTTTCTAATCTTATATATGCTATTCATTTTTTTTTAAATCAACAGTTTATAACCATATATAAGTTATGGATTATTCTAATATATATATAAATAAGTTTTCCTATTCACCTTATACTTTGTACATATAAACCAATCACATCTGTTTTTTATAATCATTTGAAACAGAGTTTTATAGTTTATTTGCATTTAAATTGTTCTCTTCAATGTCATTTAAATAGCTTAAAAATCACATTTAATTTTGTTTATGATTATTTTAATGTTTAAGTATAGTTATCT